GAAGGCCGTCTCCACACATCCGTGTGCGGATGGTTCCCAATGCCAGTTTTGCTAGGAAAAAAAAAGAAGTTAGTACTTATTGTAAAAAGTTAAAATTTAAAATTAAAATTAAAGGAAATTACTTACCGCAAAACACTTGAACCAAGTGTTAAGTGTGGCCTGATCCAGCTTCTTGTAGCTGGTATGGGTTTGTACGAAAAACCCCTTGATGATATCCGAAACGTTACGACCGACTGCATTGTCGGTCGTAAACCTAGTCAAATAGAAAAAGAAATAGTTAATTAATATCAAATATATAAGACGAAATATTAATTAATTTAAAAATATTGTTGGCAAAAATTTACGTACCAATAGGTGCTGGGGGCTCGATCCGGGTCGAGTTTGTTCATGTTCCCACGACCGGGTTGCGCCAGAGGATCGTGTACCGTATACTGGGCATACGGTACAGGCGGGATAGGATCAGCGTGATCAGGAGCCGCTGGTTCGACTGGTGGTGGTGGAGGCGGTGGCGGCTGCGGAACAACGACCGGTTGGGAAACCGTCCGTTGTGTTCCCGAGGACTCCGGGATGGCTGAGCCGGTCGCCGAGGTAGACGGAGCCGAACCGTCAGAATCGAAGAGCTGTCGGTAGTGAAATCTCTTAGTCCGAGGAGCCATATCGACAAATTCTACAAAATTTAAAAAAATTTGTTACTAATTTTTCAAAAAAATTTTATTAAAATTTACAAAATCTGGGCCTATCTAAATTTCGAACCTAAATCTAAATTCCGAACCTAAATCTAAATTCCGAACCTAAATCTAAAAGAATATGTAATGAAATTATTTTAGAAAAAAAAACTTACAAGTATTGGCTGGAGAGCAGGGAGAGAAGGAGAGATTTTTTTTAGAGAGAGAAATTATTGTAGAGAGAGAGGGGAGAAGAGAGGAATGAGCGACGAAATGGGGAGGACTCGCGTCCCTTATATAGATTTTGTGATCGTCGTAAAACCGTCGTAACATTACGACGGTTTTCCGACGATTTGGTTGTATAACAGTCGGTCCACTGCATGACACGACACGTAAGACCGTCGTAAATTTACAATTATATTACGACGGTTTTACGATGTTTTTTAAAAAAGTGAGTAAACCCTAAATCTTATAAATGGGATATTGCATAAAGAACAATGCAGAGGTTATTGTATCCTAACATATCATAAAAGGTTTACAACTTTGCATGTATGATGGATTTATGACATGAGATAGTAAAAAATGAAATTCTGTAATCAAATATATAACCTTTCACTTAACATTTACGAAAACATGCACGAACTTGTAAATATGTATGTTTTTTTTCAAATTTTTAATTTTGATCAGATTGATAGCATTTCATATAAAATAAGATAACCAATCAAAAACAATTGTGAAATACCTTACAACCAATAAGATATAAAAGATTCAAATTCTTGGATTTCAACATTACGACGGTTTTACGACGAGTACACTATTTCGTCGTAAAACCGTCGTAACTTTACGACGAAATTACGATGGTTCGTCGTAAAGACGTCGTAATGTCTAAACCCTATTCATTCAGGGCATAAAACCTAGACTTAGGGTTTAGGGTTTAGACAAATCGTCGTAAAACCGTCGTAAAATCGAATCGTCGTAAAACCGTCGTAAAATTGAATTAGTGTATCGGAGCAAAAGGAAGCGGG